TGATAATTCTCCCATAGATGTATCATTTATTATTTGATCATCCATACTGTCGCTCATCTTTGAGGGTATATCATTTTCTAAGAAAAGAGGAATACCCAATTCAGAGCTTAGAGTTTGAAATAAATCATCTGTAAGAAGAGAATAATTCTAATTAGTACCATTTAAATGTCTCAAATGTAAACAATGCGAATGTGCCCGCTGCTTATCATAAATCTAATAAAAAGCTTATTATCTAGACAAGTCATAATACTAAAATTTGTTAGTAACTTCGATAGAACTATAAAAAATTGAAAATGCGACGCATTAGAGAAGAAAGTTAATAGACGAAATACCACGTTAGGTTACAGGTGTACACCCACCTGCAGCTTCGAAATCTGGAAACATCTGAATCTCAGATGCCGTAGCACCGGTCCACTGTGAATCTTGGTTTATCAACATATTTCAGGTGTAAAATTTCTTCTACTTAAACGAAAATACTAAGATAGCCGAAGACGGGACGAATATCAACCCGTTGTTATCCTAACTAACATAAAATTCTGCCGTGCCACCGGCATTGAACTACACGAACATGTTACGCTCGACGAACGATTTCTGGTATTACAAATGCATACCAGTTATAGTTAAACTATAGTCTTATCGTATTATCGTTGTATTTTGATGATAACAATAATAGTGAAACATATATATCGCAATCGGTCGAATGTGATCGAATGCAAAGCGTGTCAGTGTACAGTCATTCTCAAAGATTCGAGGATTTCTCAATACTAATACGTATGCAATTATTAGGAAGACATCTTTCAAAATATTAAGTCTTATCCAGACTGTCTGTAAATAGTTTCGGATTTGTATTTTGTCTTCCATCATTCGTGGACAATGATGGAAGTGATGGAAATCAATCCAAGAGAGTACGCAGATAATTGTTTCTCACAGTTATCTTGGACCTAGACTCTAGACGTAGAACTCAACAATGGTTTGGACGAGGCTTTAGCATGGAAATACATCGAGTTTGCCTCTTGCATCTTATTTCACATCGTTTACACCTTATTTACTATTTATCAACGAAGTAAACAAATGAATAAGAGGGAGAATCGAAATGACTGGATTTTTAACATAAGTGTGAGGCTGACAACACAATCGACTTATAATAATGCAACGATAATTATTTGTTCAGGGTGATTATCCACGCAACCTATTTTAACGTTATTGAATTCCGTGACATGAATCACTTCGCAAATAATTACAGTTTTTTTTGTTGCATATGAAGAAGATAACATTCGTCATTAAATAATTGAAAATAAATTATATAAAGTAACATAATAAAGCAGGCTGGATTAATGTCGTACAACTGACCGTGTGGCCTAATGGATAAGGCGTCGGACTTCGGATCCGAAGATTGCAGGTTCGAGTCCTGTCACGGTCGTCAAAGTAAATTTTTTATTCGTAGTAAGCAGTAATTATTATTATTTCTTATAAAAACTGATAGTGTACATTAATTTTTTATTATAATTATAATTTTATAAATTGAATTTATCTAATTATGAATATATGATGTGTCCTAGAAAGATTTTTATCAAAAAGATTTTGATCAATTGATTACAGATCAAACTTGTATATAGAATGTGCATAACTTGCACGTTTGGAACATTTACGTTAATTAATATTTGGGAAAAAAAAATATTTCCTTCGAGCCGGATTTGAACCAGCGACCTATGGATGTCCGATTTTAACAAGCCAACTACAGTCCACCGCTCTACCAACTGAGCTATCGAAGGGTCTCTGGTTGTAGTCTCTCGCTGGGTGCTTCATAAGGTCCAGGTGAGTCAGTGGATTTTAATAAATAGATTTACGCTTTAATTTCTCGTCTAATATGGTTTTTTTAATGTCATTTTTGTTACATTTTAATATTATGAGAATATGATGTTCAATTTCAGGGGTTCAAGCTGTTAATACAATAAAAAAATAGAGAAAGATAGGAGAGTCAATGTGACAAGGAGATGAAGGAAAATGGTTTGCGCATTATGAACATAAAGATCGAAGGCATTTTTTTCGAGAAATCACTGCGAACTTCATATCAATCACTGTAAAGATAGTATACAAATGAAATGAGCACAAATATTATATCCTTTTATTAATATTAAATAAAGTGAATTTTTCTCTTGCTGGAGATAATTGAACTTAATATATTATTCATGTTTCTTGAACATTTCATTAATCGGAATATCCTTGAGAACAATCAATGAACGCGAATATGGATGTTAATTTATTTAGCTTAACCAATTAGGAAATTACCACATGGTTGTATAAAACAGTAACACATGTGATAACTTGCTCGGAATTGTTTCCACATCATTAAAAACTAGTTGCTAATGATTGGATAGAACTATTCGATTATTGTAGTATTACTCACTAATTCAAGTGAAAGAATATTGGCACATAAAGATTATTCAGTTTCAACAAAAAATATCAATTCGACGTTTCTTAACTCTAGGAAGTGCTACGTCTAATCAGAACACAGTGAATCTATCTTGACAAGGCCACACCTAAACATCAATTAGATTGACTTCCTTCTCGTTTCATCATTTACTTGATACTAAAGTTTATTATTACGGTCAACGGTCTCTAATTTTCCGTTCATACTATTAATTTCGAACGATATTCACGAAATTGAAGTCTACTACTAATTGCAAAACGACCAATTGATATACATAGAAATGTATTTACTATTATTATTCGTTATATTTAGATATTATTTCGAGTTGTGAGTGTAATCGTGACGTACGGTTCGAGGCAGAGATATAATAAACCAATTTGTATTTTCATACTATACATTATACATGTATAATACAAACGTAGAATATCTAAATTTGTTATATTATTTTACAGGAATTAGCGTTTGAAATTCGCAAGAATTATTTTTCCACTAAAGTTGTATTAGCTGTCATGTTCATGTCGTGTGTTCCCTCCATAACCGTAAACAAGAGGATAAAACGTGTACCGCTATTTACACACCGGCTCACTTCGACAGCCGTGCAGACAGGCTATATTTCTGGTACAGAAAGAGGAAGGTGTGCGACGGGACGGATAATTCCTTCGAAATCGCGCTAACTACTACAACGAGCGATTTCAAAGCGAACAGGGAGGAAGAACGGTGAAAAAATCAGAGGGACAGTGAACGTTGGAAGAACGCAGACGCGGGCCTACTCATCGCATCGTGTGAGGTAAGTACGACAAGTACGACTGCGCGAACCGAGGCTGGGTTCGCGTTCGCGGATGAGAAAGAGGGTGCAGAGAATTGAGAGAAAGCAGCATGGAGGCGCGGTAAGAATAGATAGAAAGACAGGTTCGCGTGACACGCGAAGACTAGGACGGAAACAAGGCGAGAATAAAGAAAACACGCGAAAGTAAATGAATGTATGCACACGTACGGTTCGGGCGTAGTAGAGCCTGACAGGGGGAGAACGTACGACGCGTTGAAACGCGACGAAACATGAAGAGTAAATGAGGAGCGCATTGCGTAAAAATGTAGTATACTCCTGGGTCATAAGGTTATAAAATGAAACTCTTGTACGAAATGGAAAAAACGCTGAACATAAAGGGTAGAAAGGAGAGAGTACGACAGATCGAAGGATAGTTATGTAAATAGAGAAGGACTACAAAACTAATGGGCCACAGGGGATGGTGGCGGGGATGGAAGAGAAGAGGCGAGAAAGGTGGCGCTCTCGCGCAGTTGCGCGTCGTCGCCCGACGGGTGTGCATTCAGGACGTGTCTAATCGTGAGTTTCTTTTATTTCTCTCGTACTTCGCGATCGCTTTTAAACTGCAACGTCGATCATTCGTTCGGTTTCGCATCGTTCACAGAGAACCGTCCTATCAGTGTCGTAGAGAAGTTTAGAGGTTTGATACAAGATAGCGAACGAAATCTGATTACGCCGATCGATGAGCTTCTGTTACTCGTGCCGTAAAGATTCTCGCATAGGATGGTCGCCGGTTAGTGCGAGGGGTAATATGATAAGGTACGTTTCATTGCTAGAGTATACATTTTTGACTCGTTCGACGTGGACTGCTGTCCAGGCCGGTAGCGAATCGATTTTCATGAAGAGTGAAACAGCAGCTATGAGAGAGGGAGGAAACGAGAGAGAGATGGTCGACCGAGAGAGAAGAGAGGAATGTAATAAGGACAAATGTGCCTTTTCCTTGTTCTTTTATTAATCCTGTCAGGTGTATTTTACTTGTTGTATTTTCCTTACATACATTCTCGATATTCATTGTTTCGTATATTTCATATTTTATCGTACTCCGTTGTCTCGTACGTCCTGTTCGAGTACATTTTCGGCTCCCGCTCGCATAGAACTTTTACTTCGAGTATCTAGCCGCCTTGTCACGGTCTCGCGACCAGAAGGACATGAACCCTTTGCCAAACCCTCGAACACGTTCTAGTATAATATCGTAGCGGCAACGTTAGTTAGACTGATTCGCCGGAAGAAACTTCGTTAAAGTTGGTAGACTTCCAATAAATCGTTTTAATCGTAGTGGAAAGTACACGCGCGTAAATACCCTTGGTTTACGAGGCGTCGCGAAGACGGTGACGATTCAATAATTCAGAATGAAATATGGAACTGTACGGTAGATCAATTTCAGCCATTGTACTCCGTCCACACCGTCGTGGGGACGAACGTTCGCGTCACCTTCGACGAGCAATGGATTTCTAAGCAAATATCGACCCCTGTTATTCTCTGATCGAATCGTGCGGCATACCCGTGCATCCTATTGAAAGAAGGAAGCATTGAACCCACGAAGATACCTCGCAGGAAGACGATCGAGGGGATTATTACCCACGAGGACGGGAGCGACGTTTAGCGACCTCTGCGTACGTGTGCGAAAGCAATAATCGCTTTAAATTCACCCTAAATGAATTAGAAATCATTGACCGCTCGAAGCAACTGTGACGTGCGTCGTGTAACAAGACATTTCGTCTACTAATACTACACAGCAATGTACCGATGTTGCTACACGAATTGTAGGAACCAAATAATTAGACGGAATTTGCGTCCTGGTGTGGTTCCGCGTCTCTGACCCTCTTCCGCCCTCCGATTCTCCCCCGGTCGATAGACCCGACTCGACGTCGGTTTCTCTCTCTCTCATGCGACCCGTGAAAAGGACGGAGACGAAAGCGAAGAAACTACGGTGGCGTATGGCCGGGCAAGACACGAAAATCGTACGATCACGATTCTATGTATGCATAACGGGTATACACATGATGCATTTCTGATCGATATCGAGATTACGAAGCCTGAAACGGAACATTGACAACGGGATGACAAATAAGGCGGTAACGAAGGGCGGTCCCAATGATTGTACAAGCTTTTCGATTCCGGATAGAGTAACTTTCGTTCCTTTTGATACCGATCTTCCGTTTGTATCGTTGTGTTTGGTCTTTTACGCTTTGCGCGCTGATGATTCAATGATGGTTAAGGAATTGACAAATTGATGCTTTACAGCAAATTATCGTGACACTTTTTAATTCTATATTATGGTCGTAATAAGGTAGGAATTATACAAGAAGACTAAGCAACGATAGATAACGAGTAAACTTGGATATACTCTGTGGGGAACAGAGAAAAGGGGTCGTCAGACTAGCTATACCTTTCGCAATGTCCCATCGAATATATAACGATCAGTGTTTAGGAAAATTTTCTTCTCAGCGATGTGTGCTCTCCTTTTGAGGACAGAGCTGGTAGAAATATCCGCGTTTTTAAATTATTCCTTTGCTGTTCTCTTTTTCGATCTAGCATATTCTGCGACACAGTATTGGCTTGATATCGTTTAGTATAGCGATTTGAATGAGAATGTTTCCAAATTTAAATTTTTCGTCGCTTGCGCAACTCGATGATGTATCATGATGTGGCGCATGCAAAGGCAGGAAATCTCGGGTCTAATATGCAGAAAGAGGAAATTAAGTTTCAGTGTTTGACAAATTGCTTCGCGTTTGATACCCCAAGTGGACCATAAACCTACTATGAGGGATAAAAGTAAATGCGCCTTAGATATATAAAATGTATTCTGCATATTTTTTGCATTGATTAAAAAGCTAAGTACATTTTGATAATAACAGATGATATGTTCGTATCTAATGTGATACTATAAAGACATTACGTGTAGTTTATCTTTGTAAGTCTTGTACAGTGAAGAGCAAAATTGAACCAACTGTTAAAACTGAATACCTTTTTTATGATTATAACATTTATATACTAAATATATTATATGGGCGAGAAAAGAAAGTCTGTAAGTTCTCTTTAGATGGACACGACAGTATTGAGATTTATCGTTGAATGTTTCTGTTTTCGTCGCGAGTATGATACAACGTATGCATCGAAATGTTGTTCCGCGACGTCTACGGCTTACACGATTTTCTCTGATGTGATTAAATCCTGGATACATGTATGACGAACGCATTGCAACAAGTAATCTCCTATAGGGTCCTAAGGTCTTTGTAGTGCTTCGAGATTATGCGCTTATGCGCTGGACTGTTCGTCTTCCTTTGCCTCTTCAACATTGGACCTCATTTTTTCCCTTTACGTTCAAAGATTTCTTTTCTGACAAACAAAACTAAATGCAATTGGCATTATTTAATTTACGGATTAGCATATTTGCACAGGTTGACGTGCTGGAATTCTTTTAACGTATCTTATCACGGATTCAAATGAACAACATATATGTATAGTAAAAAAGATTTCGTTTTGAAAATTCTACTTTAAAATTATTAAATTATACATAAAAAACATTTTCATTTACCTACTGACTTATAAAACTTGCATTCCTTATATTACATTCGTAATTTATTTCTATTATCTATTATTAATTTTCTAACGTCAAACTCAATACAAAGGCAGTCTTCAAGGTTTAGAGAATTCGTTCTTAATGTACTGTCTTGTATAGATATATGCATATGAAACTGTTGTGTAAAGCAATTAGTAGATAGCACATCAAATGGATTGGATAAAGGAACTAATTAAAAGCAATTAGCTACCATGCATTTTTATTACCGCCTGGAACAAGAAAAAAATAACATCTATCTCCTTTTCCCCAGGGAACTTGAAGTAAATTGAGTGAGCAATCTAAAGGAATCCAATTGATATTAAATGCAGAAAGTATATTTAACGATATTAACGCAGAGCAAGTATTACAATCGTTAATTATCTTAAAATGCAAGATACATAATTTACACCGTCTTACTTTTAATAGGATTAGACTATCAAGCTCCTCTCTAATTTATTGCAATTACAATTAACTGTGCTTATCGCGCACGATATTTAATTTAGATTTAACTTTTATAATTCTGCGATCCCTTTCGCAGTCTTCCTTTCGCTTCACCTTGAATATATTTAAACGACGGGGTTTAATCGATCGAATCTTCTGATTTTCTTTTTCTTGTCCGACTTTGGAGCGATTCTTCGACTACATAGCTGGGTTTCGGTTCTTCTTATGTACAGACAATTTGCGCGTTCTGTGATGTACACAGCGATATCAATCGCGTTTGAAGTAACACATGTGTTGTGCAACGAGTGCGGATACGACTGTTTTCATTCAAATGGTATACCCTGTGTAACAGATTAGCGATAGACGACAAAAGGTTCTTAATCAAATGTTTTTATACTATTCGCGGTGAATTTTAAGCCGATTGTGTACCCGGACATAGAGTGATAATCCTTTGTTCCTTGGGTAAATTCAATTTCAGTTTAAAAGCTTCTGGTCTGCGATGGAAAGCTTTGCTAATGGATAGAGGTATGTTTGCCAAAACAGCCTGATGATCATTAGCAACTAAATCTCTTTGAAGTACATTCACTTAATCCTTAATGAAACAATGCTTGCATCTGTCTAAAGCGGCTCGATGCAATGAAGAGAAAACACGTAATTCTAACAATTACAGGCCGCGTTCGGTAGACGTCACGACGGCGTCGGTTTGTCTGGACTAGCTCGTTCCTTACCTCGACAACCCTCGATGTCGTGGGGTGAAGAGCCTGCGCCAGTCTAGCCAGAGCCCACCGTGCATTTCGTATTTATTATTTATACGCTGGCAAGTGTCTACATCCGGTAGGATACGCGGCGGGAGATCCACTTCGTTAAAAGTATCGCGTCGTGCTCTCCGACGCGAAATTACACGATTAGGGACGTCGCCCCTTCAAAGTGAACAACTGAATTCTTTGTAGCGACGAGTCTTTTTAGTAAATAATTTATTTGGAGGAAAATCCGATTCCCACGAATACAGACAGCGAACTGCACGATAGTTGCTTTTAAGGAGATTATAAAAAGATTATGAAATGACTTTATGTATTTTTACGTGGCTCCTATCTAATGTCTTCTGCAGCTGAGATTCTTTTGTTACAGATTGTATTCATCTTGCTATGAACAACTCTAACGTGTATCTGATGAGAGAATATCGCATCTTATTATTCCATTCAAGTCGCAGCTCTGACTCAAGATGTAATCAATATACGAAGACAGCGTTTTCCTAAATTCTCATTCAAGAGCAGTTCTCTAATGTTAATGATTGTTTCGCAGTCTAGATTTGCATTCTTCCAATTGTCATTCGATCATAACTTCGCTTTGATTATTCAGACATTTACAATGTTACGAGATGCATAATGTAACGATTATTACGATTCACTCAATGGTGATTTAGTTTGCCTCTTCTTTTTAAAGATATCTTTTTCTATAAAATATAGGATAGACGTGGAACTTTTTTAAAAGAAATAATAGGCAAATAGTGAGCTTAAAATTTATAAATTCGTTCGCGTCTTCGCTAACTTGTTCGAGGGGGAAGTTGATCTTGCCGAGGCATGGATTTAAAGAGTGGAATTTCTTGGATTTGCATTTTTATCGGATAACCTTTGACTCGTTTACGATGCCACCATGTCGCGCGATCGAATGAATAATGAAACACTGTTTGATCGGATTTATATCGGTATTTATAATCAAATTCCAAGTATTCATGTTTAAGTCTTCTTTGCTGTTAAATTTCTGTTCCCTACTTGCACTAAATTCTTTCTCTGTAATGTTCCGATTTAAGACGATTAAAGCCTCGCATTTCGCATAGTTCAATTCAACGGAATTAGTGTAGTTTCAAGATCGAAGGAAGTGCCGTGCGTTTCGCTGTTACCGAACGGCTATACACGAGAATCGACCAGTCACGTACAATTTAAATGGAATTAAATTGTGTAAAATATGTAACTACATTTTATATCAGATCAGTGATCTCGTTGCGTTAAGTTACATATTGCGCCGTATTTTTTACTACTTTTTTTTAAAAGTCTTGACACCTCACGTGGATGTTTCACCGAGGCATCTCTGCATCCCCCATGCATTATTTACAAGCAGGAATAACTCTGTGACGCAACGTCTCTCGATAAAACGATATCTAATCGCCTGTGACATAAAACATTCGCGCGGGCAGATCGATGGAGAATTATTTTCTCCATCGCCCGAATATTAAGCCACCTTCCTGGAAATTGGAACTTGTCCTCCGCTTCGCAACGTTATACATCTTCCTCACCTTGTAACACTTGCACGAACTCGATGTATCCAAGTCGACTTCAATCTCCCGCGAAATTAGCTCTCGCTCCACCGTTAAGCCCTTTCGACGTAAAACAAAGCCTGTTACGTAGGTAGAACGAGGGACTAAAGGAAAACTTTTCGCTGTTATTTGTTCATAGATGAAAGATAAACCGATCGGCTCTACTCCCAGTCGAACGTAGTCCACATGGATGGAGGAAGTCGGAAGGGCTAAGAGTCAATCTAGAAAATACGTCGTCCTCGACTCGCTTCCACAACGAATCGCGTTCATCGACCCGGGATTGGATTCATTTTCCCGTGGTTAATCGTGAGTATTCTCCTATTAACATCTTACAGTTTTTAATGAGGACTGGGATCGACGACAGCGGGGCATCGAATTAAAAAGAAAATGGTATTATTACCTCTTTCCAATTTTCTCAATTCATAAAAGATTTTTGACACGAATTAGACATTTTGAAATCTGAACAAGAGTGATCTTAAAATACCGAATACTCCGACGTCATCAATGGAGATTATAGCATAAGCACTTTTAGACGTTGAATAAGCAAACGCGTACACTGTACAGTACTCGTCGTTAGTTAAAAGAATACATTTTACACAAGAAAACCATTACTGTGGACGCGACAGGAAGGATTTCTTTATCGGCGTGTACTAGTCTGTCTCATTCGACTCGTGTTCTGTCCGCGGAACTGAAGGGAAGAACGTTTGGTGAATTGCAGCAAGCGGAGAGCCGCGGGTGATCGGTGCTGGGAGCAAGGATGGCCAGGAGCACCTGCACTACGAACGCATTCCGGCGATGCACCGATCGTACCGTCTATGTTCATCGCGATGCCGTTGTCGCAGCTCATAGTACGTCCGCTCGCAAGTCACGATCGATCGGAATCGGGTACGGTAGGAACGACCACGGCATTGCTAACTCTCACTACATCGGCTACGCTGCCAATTTCGATCAGGAAGAGGGCACGGCCGATTAGAATCGCCCCCTTCGATACAACTGCCGAGCAGCAGGTGATTCACGTAAGTTCCACGCTTACAAAAACAATTTCTTCCCTCTCCTCTTTTTTGCTCGTCGCCTCTGGTAAATAGATTGCATTCTCTGTTTCGTCTACCGTGTTTTCGACGTTCCATTCTTACTCAGTTTTACCTCTTCCGAAAACTTCGAGTTTTGCGGTGTAGAATCTGGAACATGCTATTCTCTATGGATGGTTTTGAGCGGAGTTTTGCTTTTTCCTCGGTTGTACATTTTTATATTCTCTTTTAGACTTCCGTGCGCTATTTATTTTAAAATAGCCTGACAGGACCCCTGAATTTGTTGAAAATTATGAAACATTATTTTAGGAACGGTGAGACAGTTCTTATTAACACCCACGTGACGACGTATCAATACTTAATCGCACCACACGTCTTTGGCTACGTAAACAACGATGAAGAAAGAAATTATTGATTTTCGTGTAGCATGAGCGATAGACTCGTCGTAGACTCGCTACCCATCGATTAAATTAGATTTTCGTCCGTCCGCTACTGATTCTATTATTAATAGTATTGGAATTTTACGATTCAAGTTCTGCGAACCATATATGCGTGCCTCGTTCGTTTGTTATACAACATGCGTTATGTTATCTGATACGCGACAATCGTCGCTCCGTCGTGTTTGATCGCGAGAAATGTGAATCAGAAAAATGTTAAAAAAGATATTTGTAAACAACTGAGGAATCTCGGTACTTCAGTTTTCAATATTTCGACAATGTTGATCCTTGTTGCGTTGATTTTAAGATTAGAAAGATTTAGGATGTTGGAGATATCAATCGTAATTAAGGAAGATGAGATTTACGACTTCCACGCTGAATGAAATTATTATGCAACAAACTTCTGGTGACGTAATGATGAGAATAAAATGTACGATGCATTCTTATTGGCTATCTGCGTCGTTACATACCCATTAATCTCTGTGAATCTTGAGACTTACTCTTTCCAATTCACTTGGAACGAAACTGAATTCTCGATTCGACTAATTATGCATCTTAAAATCGACGATGTAATTAAATGATATGAATTCTGCAGGCCTAAATTATATCTCACCCAACTTCTGGATGGAATAACAATCAATTTTAAAAACACCTGTGATAGATGTCCACCTCCAGATCTCCTCTTGGCGAACCATCTCTCTCTTTTTTTACATGTCAGTACAAAGAAACTTTGCGAAGGCCTTGACATATTCGGTGGCATATTGGTCGCTGTTACACGCGCGAACGCTTAAATAGTGCAAACGACGAATTATCGACCACATCGCGACCAGTTTCTGTGTATATGCGCGCGGCAGGTAGACGTTAGAGGCCCGCGACTTCCTAACAAAGAGCCCCACGTCGAAGCGAAAACTTTCGTCACGACAGGAGGCCAATCATCGGCCCAACTGCGCGGCTGGATGTTAATCAATAAGAATCTTTTTTCGCTGTTGGCTTGCCCGATAACCGAGTAAACTCAATATTCGGAGACGTTAGAAGTTGATCAGTTAAATCGTATCAGGACGACGCATAATGCGATCACAATGTAAAAAACGTGTTCACATTAATAGAAATGAATTTTACTTAACTCGTCTTATCATATACGTAGGTATTCATTTCATTGTTGTTCGATTTCGTTTCAGGAATTGAAAAGACGAGTACATCTGACAGGATGGGCTCGTGCAGGGTTTACCTCACTCAGCTGCGAGCGATGCTCGTGAGGAATCTCCTGCTGAAGAAACGCGACAAGAGGAAGACTATAGTGGTACGTTCATCATAAATATACCTTATGGCCAATTAATATTTATCGGCGAATTGAGCTAAATTTAATTACTTATAGTGCGGAGAATAGATGGATGGACTTTGATAATGAAATATGCTAGAATATTTTTAAATATTTTTAATGAGAGAGTTCTATTCGAATACACATCTTTATTTAGAAAGGTTTGGAATTTCTAGTTGTACAGATCTCTGTGAAAAATGTGCCCAACTTTTCGTTCGACCATTCGGCGAAAATAAGGCAAGGATCATCAATAATTCATTGCAATCCGTAGTTTTGTATAATTAAATACGCGCAGCTGTTTGACCTGGTTTTAAAGTTTCGCTGTACATAATTCTTTAAAGCTTTGAATTACACGCGTTAGCGTGACGCGAAACTGTGCGGTGATGTCTCACCGATTATCGAAAAGATAGTCGATTCCAACAGCTATAGGCGCGAGTCATAGTTACCTGATCTTTCAGATTATTTATTTTCCTCCGTCCCATTGGTTTTAATCATTTTACGACGCGAGGAGTCTTAATCGAGCAACGGTTCGCGTTGAGAGGCCAGCACTAAGTATAGACGCGAATACTTATTTTATGTATAAATCGATTTTCTCTACCTCTAACGAGCTATATTTAGGCTAGTCTTTCCTCTCTTCTCTTCGATCTGCCCTTTATCTTAACAAGTCGACGCAAAAGTTTCGACGACCAGCGATAACACGTAACTATTTCCAAAAGAAAGTATGTTTCAATGCTACGAGGATTAAAAATAAAGGTAGACCGGTGGAACACGCACCATGGAAGGAATTGATTTTTCTTTTGAAGAAGATAAAATGCTTACCCAAATGTTTCTCTTCTTCGTTCACACGCTCGAGAAAAAAAGAGGCACATTAAGAATAATAAAATGCAAAACCGTCTTATAAAAGTTGTTAACACTAAACTGCATCGAAAAAGGACAACAAAATTTACTCTCACACATGACTGGATCAGTGGATTCGACGTATATGCCTGTCGCAGGACAAATTGAATATGCATTATAAGAAGAACCGGAAGGAGAAAAATAAGGGAATCTGGATGCCAATAGAACTGTAGTTTCGAATAAACCAGCTGCGGAGGGAGAGATGCGCGGATAGTTTCCACGGATGGCGACGAAGTGACTGCGCTTCGTGGACACCTGAGTTTGCCAACGGGGGAGGGCGTATTGCCAATTCGTTTCGGCCGAGCTTTTTACGTGAGCTTTGTGCCAACTGGGCCAAGGGTCGTTGTGGACGTCCATGAAAGAATGAACAACTTTTCTGTTTTTACACACACACATACACACAAATCATTTTTTCTTCCCTTCCTTTAGTATTGAAAACTGGACTATGTAATGAAGACGCGATATCCATTTTGTCATTGTTAGGGATGATCAACGGCAGCTGTTGAAATACTACTGAAGTACGTACACAGCGACTTCTTAAAATAAACTCAGCGACTTCATCGTAGATTACAACAGACTTGCTAAGTATATTATTTTTCATGATTTGCTATAGCAGGAAGGACGGGGAAGCTGTTATTTTGGTATTTCAATCGAATTTGGTAGAACTACTGCTGAGAACTAAAGCTACAATGTATCCAGTCACAATAGAATTTTCGGATTTTATTACTCTATTATGACAGGATTTGAGAGAGAATTATTAATCAAACAGTTGTATAGAGTATAAGCTCGAGTACAATGCAATGCATAAACCTGTTTTAATGTTCCGCTGTTATATCTCTTAATACGATTAATTAATACATATTGCAGTATTACAAAGTTAATTTCATTATATCAAAAATTAAACTAACGATTCAAATAAAACTTGACAGAATTTAATTACTTATACGTACTACAGTAACTACAAAGTTGTTGATTAAAATAATTTTTTACGAGACCACGAAAATTATTTCTTTCTGGAGCTCTTGTGTTTTCCTTCCTTGGTTTTGAAAATGGCTGAATCGATAATATTTGTGGGCCCGTTGTTCCACATGGCCGTGGAGATGGTCTCCGTGGGCTCGACGGTCGAAGGAAGTAGATGCGGACCGACCAAAAAGTAGATTTGCTCGACCCAGGTGGGCAGGCTCATACCAGCCACGCAACATTGCCATAATGGAAGTCCGAGATGGACTAACATCATACGAAAGTACACCGTAAAACTGTCCGTTAAGTGACACCATCGATTTTTGTCCTCTCGATGCAACCAGATGGTCGGTAATTCCATTTCCGGTTTAATCCGATAAACCAAGTACACCTTGGCCATCCCACTCTCTGGAAAGCATTTCGCGATTTCGAACATCTTACATCCCTGACTATTTTCCATCATGCTCTCGATGTTCTCGAAATCGTTCGAAGTCCCGGAAACGGCGTCAGAGTCAGTAGGTTTGCGAGCGTCACCCTGACCTTGCTTACTTGTGACCTCCGTCTCTTTCTGGACATTGGTGTACCGTTTCAAGGAAGAAAGGGTGCCAATTTCCATGCGTCCTACCGGGAATTCTTCACCTATTTTTAAGATCATTGATAAATTACTTTCCGAAGATAGCAGCATCATGAGAAACTATTAATCACGAAATAAAAACGAGGCGACGATCATCGTTAAGACGCCAGAAATCAAAGTTGAATACTCAATTAATAGTACAAGTCATCCGAGAAGATGGATGAAGATAAAAAGTCAACAAGGAAGATCCGTGGGAATACAGGGATAATTCTGAGAAAAGGTTTACCTGCTATCTCGAGATTCCATTGAAGCAAGAAGCCGTCGATCGAAGCGTAGAAGTTCCTGACGTCCTCCGGGAGCGTGCAACAATGACGTTGCTCCCAGCTGGTGATAGCCGCATTCTCGCATCCGTTTCTATGCTCGACTCGTACATTTTTCACGTACGGAAAACTTTCGAGGATCTTCACCACGCCCAGCGTGAGATTCTCGTAAAACGAATCTTCTGTCACGATATCGACGAAGAACGACATCGGCGCGCGGTATATATTTCAATAAACTTCCGTCCATCGAAACTTTGCCGGTAAACAACAATTACAAAACAAATTCAAAGTATCATATTTATTAGATAATTTAAGAAANTAGTATGTTGAATCTGAAATTATGTGACAGCGATTTACGATTGTTTGCCCGAAGGAGAATGTATCAATTTGACTAGTACGGAATTTATTCTGAAAAATCTAATAGATTGATCTAAAGACGATATTCCATTATTTATAAAATAATTTACCGACGAATGTATTTTTAGTGAATTATTAATATTTATTTTTATTCCATTTTAATTCACTTAATTCTCTGAATCGAAATTTTTCCTGAACAAGAATTTCTAAGCTCGACAGCGAATTCCCAAATCGTTTGTGAACGCTCGTAGAAACGAGAACAATCGTGCTGATGAATCAGGCTAGCCCAGTCCGTTGTTGATCACCATGGTGACGGAATACGAAAGCGAACCGGCATATCCACTTTTCCCGTATTCAAACGGTCCGTCGCGACGTCGAGGGGTTGTATCGAACGCTTGCGCAGGTTTACGTTGCACGACAGGTGTGGAAGAGGGTGCATGTAGAATAATTATTATGAACGTAGAGGAAAGGTTCCTTTTAGAAATTATCGTGCATGCATTTCCCCTAGCTTCTGTTCGATCACCATGTACGATTTTTAACGTATGCATTATTATTAATTATTGTCGATGGGGGAGTAACAGCTGGTGGTGGTCTCCGAGGGTGGACTAACAGACTTGTTCGATTCATGAAATTAAATGTATCCGTCCATCTGTTCCAGTATTACTCTCTACGACCGTTTCTTTTCATACTGTTTTCTATTTTACAACATTAATTTGGTTTTCGCTGTTCACAGGAGGTTTTCCTACCCCTTTACATGTTAGGTGTGTTAATTGTGGTAAAGGTATTATCACCAAATCCACATTATCCTGCAATGACAACGCAGAGGCAGGAAGGTATATTCAAGAAGTTCAATGGTAACAGGAACAACACGATAGCCGTTGTGCCCAACTCGACAGAAACTCTGGTACATGTCTAGAACAATAAATGTTCTCAAGACAGTATAAACATTAGCCAATCTTTGTCATACTACTTCCATTTTAGACCTTTTTAAATTCAATGAATACCCTGTGGTTATCAATGTGGGATTATCCCGGCAAGCTTCCCTTGAATTTTATGGTGTTCGATACGAAGGATGATCTACAAGCGGCGTATTGGAGAGATCCGTACAGCGTGCCCTTGGCGGTAATCTTCGAAGATTCTCAACCTATATCACAGCGTCTTCTGTAAGCATGGCTTCCATTTTATCGACCTAATCGGTTGTAAACGGACATCGTTATATTGTATTTTCTTGTCTCTAGATACGAGATAAGAACCAATCCTTCATACACAACTTCACCACCGCCGACTGAATTGTATTCCGCCCCAGTTACTTGCCGGAAAGATACAAGCCACTGGATGGGCTTATTGTCGATAGAGACTGGTGGATCGTGTCCTGTGAATAATTATTTGCACTCAGGTTTCCTAGCGTTGCAATTGATAATGGATATCACGAAGATAAGAGTACGTTTCGGATTATTCCATTCAATTAATAAAGAAGTTTGTGAACGCGTTCGTTTAATCTTGCGTTTTATAATATAATTTCCAGCTGGACACAGAAAATACCGATATAACAATACCTAATATTAAACTGGAAATGTTCCCCAAAGAAGCTTTTACAGCAGGTAACGGTTACAGACATAGGCCATGGATATTTTCATTAAAATTTTCTTGTATATCCTTGCATGCTAATTAACAAATTCTGTATTAAATTGTATTAGATATCCCAATTAATTAGAGTGATATGTATAGATGAAAAAGATAGGATTGTTTTAGTAATTAATATTACACTTCAAGTGTTTTTTTATTTCGCGGGCATATTTCTAAGGATATCTTTTATTTAGACTGGATGCTGGCCTTTAGAGTTGTTATACCTCTCTTTATGGTTCTGGCTATTTCACAATTCGTCACTTATCTCCTGATCCTGATAGTTGGTGAGAAGGAGAAAAAGATCAAGGAGGGAATGAAGATAATGGGCCTACAAGATTCAATTTTCTGGTAGGTAAATGTATTATTTTGGAACTAACAGAACTGGTTTCGTCTTGGATATTAGTGCACGTTTAACGATCTACATTTTGCATGGAAAAGGACATATAAAGAGAATAATAGTTCCACATAGATAAGCTTCCTACGTAAATTTTATTTTCAATTTTCCATTTCAGGTTGTCATGGTTCATTATCTACGGCGTCTTTGTTTTGTTACTCTCCGCCGTTGGAGTAATACTACTTTTTACGCTACAAATGTTTCAGCACACACACTTTTTACCGATATTCCTTTTAGTAGTTCTCTACAGTTTCTCAATAATCATGTTTGCTTTTATGATAACACCTTTGTTCGACAAGTCACGCGTAAGTACCTCCTAAAACCCGTCTTGACATCGTCGTACTGATATTATCGAAATTAATTGGATCCAATTTTTTTTCATAAACAGACTGCTGGTGTACTTGGCAATTTCGCAGTGACGATACTGAGTTTAATGTACTTTATTCAAGTCTTTGTAAAAGATTCCAGTTCAGTTCCGTTTTGGTTGGTCTCTCTCCTTAGTCCAACAGGCGTTGCTTTAGCGATGGATAAGGTTTGTTCTATTCGTAGAAAAAGATGTATTAATTCAAGAAAAAAAGTTCTTCTTTATATAAAAAATGTTCATGATTATTTACAGGCCCTTGTTCTTGATTTACAAGGAGAAGGAGTAAACTTTGACAATCTTTGGTCAGGTCCTGGTATACCTTTCGGAGGGAGTTTAATCATGATGACTTTAGACATACTATTGTATGGCTTTCTTGCCTACTATTTTGACTCCGTTTTACCGAGTACGCTACTTAAATATTTTTTATAATACTCATCGAAATATTAACAAGCGATGTGTAATTAGATCGTAAATTTCTAATCTAGGCGAATATGGAACGAAGAGGAATCCTTGGTTTTGTTTCACACCCGGGTTCTGGTGTCAGAGGAAAGCTCCACGAGTAGGTTTAATTAATGACATAAAGAGTAACGTGGGAACGGAAATTGAAAGAAAAATATTTTCATAGTCGTGTTTGCAGGTACCGTCATCGAACGGCGAGTCGAATTCTTTTATTCCCGGTGAAGAAACTAATCGTGATATCGAACCTGTAGTACGCGAGATGAAAGGTCGCGAAGCCATTAGGATAGTCGATCTTTACAAATCGTATCATAAATGTCGCAAGCCAGAGATTAAAGCAGTGAACGGTATCAACCTGACCATTTACGAGGGCCAAATCACCGCGATACTCGGACATAATGGAGCTGGTAAAACTAGTCTTTTCAATATATTAACTGGATTGACTGCACCAACCGCCGGCACTGCCTTGATCTTCGGCTACGACGTCAGGGATTCCAACGACATGCAAATGATCAGAAGCATGACTGGTGTTTGTCCGCAACACGATATTCTTTTTGATCTCTTGACACCCCGGGAACATCTCGAGTTCTTCGCCGCTGTACGGGGCATTCCAAGAGGGATGGTAGAACATGAGGTACACTTATTCTCTCAAAATTTTGTCGCCTCTGCGTTAAATATTATGTACTCTTCAATGTTTGTGTGCGAATTTCAGGTGAAAAAGACTTTAAAAGACATCGACTTGACCGAGAAGGCAGACACTTTTGCTAAGTATCTAAGCGGTGGACAAAAGAGAAAGTTGTCTGTAGGAATAGCCATTATAGGTGATCCGAAGATTATCATTCTCGACGAGCCTACGGCAGGAGTGGATCCGTACTCTAGGAGGCAGATGTGGTCTTTCTTACAATCCAGACGTCACGGAAAAGTGATTTTACTAACGACACACTTTATGGACGAGGCAGATATATTAGCAGATAGGAAAGCGGTTATCAGTAAAGGAAAACTGAGATGCTGTGGCAGTTCCCTGTTCTTAAAAAATAAATTCGGTATCGGATATCACTTAACGTATGTTGATTTTCATATTCGATTAATAAAATGTTCTGATTAGATTGTAAAAGTTAATGTTCGTTAATGTATGCAACAGATTGGTGCTTGAAGGGAACGCAAGGGAACATGCTATTACTAGATTGGTAACGTGTCACGTTTCAAAGGCGGAAAAAGCGAGGCGCCATGGACGCGAATTGAGCTTCATCTTACCTCACAACTCCGTAGAAAATTTCGCACCGCTTTTCTCAGCTATAGAGCACGAGATAAAAACTCGTTCGAGTAGATTGGGCATTAGTAGTTACGGAGTGTCGATGACTACTTTAGAAGAGGTGTTCCTTCACCTAGAAAAGGACGAAGGACTTGAATACACCATGGATAATTTGTCGAAAAAAATGGTGCGCAGTCGTGCGTTGAGCAGGTCACTGTCGTTGCAGTCGAAGAGTACCTCTTATCAGAGTTTGCAGAACGAAGGTGTTACCGTTCAAAGCGACGGCCAAGCAAAAGGTCGAGTTTGATGTTTTGGAAACTATCATCGAAATGATGAATTGTGAACTGAAATCTTGTATTATAGGTGCGGGAGATCTACCGGATGGCGTTCATAACGACAGAAATCCTCCTGTTCTCGGCCTCGGATTAGACCCCATAAAAATCCGGCCTAAATTCTTCCAAACCTTGTATGCTATGCTTCGCCTAAGGATACTCAGACTCTTCAGGAACATTCAATTATTGTATTTCACTATTGTCGCACCACTTTTTCTGGTAGTTCTTGGCCTCCACTTGTATAGCATACAAACAGTCGACATGAAAGTGCAATCTCTTAAGCTGAACACCGGTATGTCGACATTTACGCTTCCATAAATTTGTTAATTGTGTAAGTTTCTGTATTAATTTCGTTTCCAGATACATACGGAAACGAGACCAAAATTTTATACACGAATAGTACGGATCACGATATCACAGATTTAATTGATGGAATAAGTCAAGATGTAAGATACATTGAAGATTATTATGGGAAGTTCTTAGATGTATTAAAAGTCGCACCGCACATGGCCGCCTTCAATATAACTGAGTATAGTCGACTGAAAATCAATTTGACTGTTGCCTATAACGATACCATGCAACACTCCCTACCAATCTTGCTAAACGTATTGTCGAATGCTTATCACAGGTACGATTAATGATTTGGGAACATATAATTTATTTGGAGAAGGATTACTTCATTTTCTTCTGTCTAGGTTGATCACGGACAAACATGATCTGAGGCCGATCGAAGTTAAGACTCATCCTTTCCAACAAACTTCCCAACCGCAGGAGTTCAATATTGGAACAGGGACTTCGGCCATGTTCATTGGAATGAATTTTGTATTGTTACCTATAACTTTAGTTATCGACATGGTGTACGATCGCGAAGTAAGTTTCAGTTAATTCTTCATACTTTAAACACGACGTTCCAGTTCGTCTCTTACTAGTCTATTTGTATGTCTTCAGATAAAAGCGAAGAATCAGCTGCGTGTCAATGGTCTGTCATTTTCTATGTACTTCCTCACGTATTTTATTGTACTCGTCGGCCTGTTGACGTTCATCTGCTTATGTATTCTTGGCATCATATTTCTCTTTGATGTGCCTTCGCTTCAGGAAATCCCAGCGCTGATCACTCTCGGCGGTCTCATAATGCTTTACTGTCCGGCGTCTATTTTATTCTCGACATGTTTAAGCTATATCTTCGATAAAATGGATTCTGCCCAGAGCATTTTGCCCAACCTTGCAACTTTCTTCGGAATTATACCGTTTATACTAGTCACGAGTCTCGACATGCTGAGTCGCAGTAAGTTAAACCAACGTTTTCAATTTGGTCTCTTAATTAACATCGATTTAATTGATTCGTGATCTTGCAGGCGGAACAGCAGCATTTATTTTGCACGTAATCTTTTCTTTATTAAACACATTGTATGTACCATACGCCGCGGTGTATTACGTCGGAAGGGTACATTTAATGTGTTCTATCAACGCCGCTTGTCACCATTTGACTATGTCCGATTATTTAACCGCGGAAATCATCCTGATGGCCTTCGGCGTGCTTCTACATTGTCCTCTGTGGTTCTTTGTGCTCCTATTGCTAGATATAAAAAAGAGTGGAGGCAACGTCAGCGATGTATTTAAACATTTTCTGGTTAGTATAAACTGATAAATTAAATATCGAAATTCAAAACGGTTTTCTGTGAAAAATTTATTTTGTTCCTGAAGCGCAATGGAGGTTCCATTGGTGAGGAGATAATGGAAAATTCTGACATTGGGGAGCACGAAGATGCAGATGTTAAAGCTGAGAGGCAGAAAGTTTTTAATCTTATTACTTCATCATCCGTTCAAGAACCACCTGTAGTTCTAGTGCAGGTACTATTTACTTTTTTTAATCGTAATAATTAATTCTGTTCCCTTTGATCATCACGCGATTGCAATTTGTGTCTTTATTAGAATTTAAGGAAAGAGTATCGACCGCAGGAGTCGGTATCGTGCAGTTGTTGTTCGAAACAAGACGAAGAAGCTAGTCAAATACAACGAAAAGTTGCTGTAAGAAATCTGTCATTGGCGGTCGAGCCGGGAGAGGTGTTCGGTTTACTGGGTCACAATGGTGCTGGCAAAACGACAACGATGAAGATCGTCATAGCGGAAGAAGCGGCCACCCGAGGCAGAGTGCAAATCGGTGGCCATAATATTAATTCCCAGATGACCGAAGCTTTCAGGCAAATGGGATACTGTCCTCAACACGATGCACAGTGGAAGAATATCACTGTTAGAGAGCACTTAGAGTGTTACGCCGCCATTCGCGGCGTGCCGTGGGGAGATATCAACAGGTGATTAATATAACATATTTAATAAAGAATTGTACCAGGGTTGATTACTAACTAAACGACGAGTCATTTAACAGAATCGTCGATTTATATCTCAGCGGTCTAGAAATTCATGAACACGCTGATAAACAGACCCAAGAGTGTTCAGGTGGAACTAGAAGGAAACTTAGTTTTGCTATGGCGATGATAGGAGGTCCAAAAGTTGTTCTAATGGATGAACCAAGCACTGGGATGGATCCTAGGTCGAAGAGATTTTTGTGGGATACAATACTCGCCAGTTTTCAAGTTCGTTACTCTATCAATGTTCTATGCGTTCGAAAATATTTCTTCGTTTACACATGTTTCACACGTGCTTCAGGGTGGAAGAGGAGCGATTTTAACTACTCATTCGATGGAGGAAGCCGATGCACTATGTTCTCGAGTGGGTATAATGGTAAAAGGGGAAATGAGATGTATCGGTTCTACGCAACACCTGAAGAATCTGTACGGAGCGGGGTACACCCTCGAGATGAAACTCTTGGGTGGTGATTGTACTCCCACGACACCGTCCGGCGATAGGATTACAAGCTTGAAAGAGTTCGTTTCCGGCCTTTTTCCGGACGCAACTCTGGAAGAAAGTTTCGCCGACAGATTAGTTTTTGCTGTCCCCCAACACGCAGTCACCTCGCTGGCCGAGTGTTTCACGCAGTTGGAAAAAGGTAATTAGAAATTTTGAGGATACTTTGCCGATGGTTCGTTGATGTAATTCAAACTTCAATTTCCAGCCAAACTAGAATTGGACATCGAAGAGTACAGCTTCAGCCAAACCACTTTGGAGCAAGTTTTCCTCAAATTTTCCCACTACGACGAATCGAAACCGGGAGAATGATGACTCACATAGACGAGTGTGTTTATTTTCTCGTGTCGCATAGTGAAATACTTATGGGATCTGCTCAACTGGTGGGAAATGTGTAAAAATAAGTCGGGAGCAGTGATTTGTTTTTAGTGTTGCCGCGTGAATACTATCAAGAATCACGAAGACAAAATCCATCTCCGCGTTTAAAAATAATGAGAACCTGTAACACTCTCGGGGAAGGACGTGTCGCCTCCTTGACGCAGACTTCGATACGTTCATGTATTGGTCCTCGGCGAGTCCTGACTGTGAGTGAATGAATGAAACTGTATTTTTGCGGTATACATCGTTCGACCTAATCGCAATGGGAAATAATTAGATATTTTTGTTTGTGCCGATGTTTCGTGCTGTTATGTTCGTCAGAAATAACGGTGACTTCCTAGGTATGATAGCAGTCGGATAAATGAACAGTTACGTGTAAAATTAATTGAGATGTAAATAGTGGAATACTACGAACAATTTGTTCGACTGTCAACCAAGAAGAGGCAGTAATAATACTATTTAAACAGTAATATTCATAATTTTGAAATTGTAATTTAGTCTACTATTCGATCCTACGAATATTACGAAATAGGTTTCGCAATTAATATTGCTGTGGAATTGGAACGTTATTATTCTCATTACACTGTTAAAATCATCATTGACAAAGGCAAGGACGAGGGTGCCAGAAATCCATATTAAATTCTTTTTCGACACACTGAACTTGATAAATCACCTATGTACATTTATAAACGTAGGAAACATAATCTCTATACAAATCTATTCGTTTTAGCAATATTTACGATTGCTCGTGATTATTTCCGTCTCACCGTTCAAAAGGGGTGCTGCTACGTCGAGACGATCTACGTAACATACAATTGGACAACATAATTTGTGCATATAACGTAGTGCGTAATACGTATTCATTATCAATTTCTCCAGTTCGCTTATGGTCCTTATCGAGGTCTTTTCAATAAAGAGAAAGACAGTCAGTAGCATATAAGGCGAGTCGAAATATGTCTATGGCAATCGGAGCATGATAGAACATAACTCTTTAGTGAAAACCTAGTCAAAAATGAAAATTATTCCGCAGAAAAATTTTTAATACTCAATCAGTAATTTAGCAATTCGTATCACGTGAAGATTATACGATAGATTAAATTTTTGTTAATGTCCATTTTATTTGATGTCGCTTTATTTTTACTGCAAATGAAAGATGTAAAAATAAGAATGGAAACTGGAACAAGAACAACGTTAATGCAAACAATAATTTTTTATTAAATTATTGGAATCTCAACAAGTTTCACTTGTCAAAGTGGATTTAATAATAGAATTAATATGTCTAAGTATCCCCTTTTGTAAAGACTTCACGCATAATCTAGGAAATTCTGCTGTTACACGCTTGTAACAAAAGAGTTGAACATTAGGAGAAGATACACAAGTTCTGAAGATTTTTCATTCGAAAATAATGTTTCTTTTTAGATATCCATGTGCGTATGTTTGGTCTGACGTGATTGAGAAATTCCGAAAAATCGGACGGATGAGACAGCACAGTTTGAAGGACTAAACAAAACATTTTGTAGATCACGTAGTGCTTAGATAGTCGAAAACTAGGAGTTTCATTGTACGGCGCTATTGATTTTTGTAAATAAATCTCGTTGTATGAAGGATAACGGATAATGTAAAATGAAGACGAGAAAAGAGAAAATGATCCATGCGCCGCTGAGCATACGCGCCTCTACTTAGGGATTGTGTACGCACAACACACATTCTAGCTGATATCACATTAACATAAAATTTAGTCAATTATGGAATTACATAAACGAGGGAAAATCTGCAGACAATTTTATGAAAATTGTATAAAGTACGTACACGTTTTCCATGTATCAGTACTTATAATATCTTTTGACGAAACTGTTATGATTTTATGTATATTACGATTAATATAAAATATTATCGGGAATATTATAAACATTCCTGTCGAGATACTGTTTACCGTATTAAGAATACCAGATTCTTTTTCTTTTTTATTGTCTGTAGATGTAATATTTACATATCTTCTCTGCTCATATTAATCGCCATTTTTTGGCTTTTCCTGTTATACGGCTCGTTCATACTTGTCGAGTTTTTCACATCGATCGCCATGTATGTGTGTATATATATACACACAAGTAAATATGAAAAAACAAAAACTATACATATATATTATATATTAATACATATATACATGGATTTACATTTATGTAAGTAACGTGACCACTGTTTCGTAGATTTTCTCAAAGTTTATTAGACTTAATCCCTTCAGTATACAAATTTGCAAATTATTCGATATACCATTGTTTAGAGAAAGAGATGAAAAGTCTCACCTACATTTGAACAAATTACGATCGATTTTTCATAATTATTCAAATTTCTAATATTGAAACTTGAAACATTTTTGTTGAAATGACGAAATCAAATAGAATCAAAAAAGAGCCAACGTAAAAGGTAAGCATAATTACGGCACCCTTAACTGCAAACGCTTGTAATTTGTTTGTATAATATTGTTTCTTTCAATGTACGTTAATAAGTTATTCTTGATTCATGATAAATATATTTGCGGAGGAACGTTCACTGAACACTTTTTATTTATAAGAGTGACCTTAAAGGAAAAACAGTCGAACGGAGACTTATAAATTGAATGTAAAGTCGATTATTATTAGAATACATAATTTATCAGGAGTAATATAGGTACATATATTCGTATCTAGGTATGATCTTTCGTTTTGTATATCAATGACCTCGTTTCAACGAGAAGAACGAACGAATAGGAAGAAACAGACACAAGACACGGCACAAGTCACACGGCGACACGTACCGATACACGAAAATCACGTCACGACACATCGCACGCACGAATTAATGCACCTGTGCACTCCAGTTCGCGACCGGTCATCGGATAAGGATTTTAAGAATTTTTGCGCGTTTAATAAAACCCGCAACACACATTCAAAGACATTAAGAGAGAAAGAGACTCATATACGTACGGTTATTAAAGAAACAAAAAAAAAAAATGCGATTATCATCAATAAAAAGAAAAGAAAGAGATGCAACACGTCGAATACACCCTGTCGATGAACGGTTGACTTTGCGGAAGGCTACGTACATATTTGTTATGTAAAGTGGATGTGTAATCGATTGGTTAAAACGAAAGCTTTTTCACCAATAAAAAGAAATCAGTTAAACATTTACGAAGTGTCCTTCTTCATGTTTTTTAAAACTGTGACGAAAGAATTATAAATAAAGAAAAAGACAAAAAAATGCGAGACGGCTCGATGAGAATGAACGCGGGAAACATCTGGGAAGCTACTTGCCTCTCGATCTATTCATTGTTGTTTAATATATAATTTTAGAGTAACTCTCATATAGAGCGATACGCATTCGAACTAATTATTATTGATAGCGTTTGTTACGTACCGATCAGCAGAGCTTAGAGATAAGTGCCGTTTCATTTTGGGAAATCTTGGGAACGCGAATAAAACGAGAAGTTGCCAACGATTTCGTTTGCCCGTTCAGGAGTTCTTTAGAAAACGCAAACTGTACGAAAGTTCAGTTGTTATTAACGACAAGTAATACGCGGTGTTTCTGCCTTCTTTCTGTACCTCCCCCTCTTTTCACGTACGTAAACGAATTTTGTATGTTTGTAATAATTGTCTTGTGATACATCATCGGAAATTATTTGACACTGTCCATGAGAAGATTTAATTGTTCTAGCATGTATTTAGGGTAATAGAAAGTTAGGGAGAAGTATAAGTATTTATTGTGTTGATACGTGATGCAACTTTACGAACGATTCGTATGTATACCGTTTATTATAGCACTTTACAATTAATTTTTACTAAAGGATCTGTTAAATAAGGGGCAAATTTGTATGATCTTTTTTTATACAATTTCAAGTGGCGGTAGTTTCTTATTAAATTGATTGGCTTCGATTGTGTACAGAGTTTTATATACGAAACGATAATCCTGTTTTACGTTGTACAAGGGGAATTAGTTAGAAAGAGTAAAGAATTTCGATTGTCATGTAGTTAATACGAATTCTATTATCGAAAATTACTATTAAATGTACTTGTCCCCCATTCATATTTACACTACAAATTTTTACGTATGCATACATATATGTGTATAAATACATTATATGTATACATGTATATACATGCGTACGTAGGTACTTACACGTACATACATACATACTAATATGCTTTTTATTGGACAGGAACTTGCATACGATAAAAGTGTTCGTTATATATTTCGCGAAGTGCAAGATGTATCAAACGATTTTCGAATACCCTTCTAACTCAGAAAAATAGCGAGCCTCTTTTAATATGATATTTAAACAATTTTTGTTTACTAACGATTGCCGACGATAATAACTCTGTAAAAGGACACTAGGTCCACTGCTTCGGATACATAAATTTACAATATTGAATTTATTGTACTATTGTTATATTGCAATAAATATATGTATACAAGACGGTTTACAGAATTGCAAAAGAAATATTATTATTTAGTTCGTTATCTTCTAACGTTCAATGCCGCGCACCATGCGAGATCGATAAGATCCGAATTGATTCTTTGGGAGGTGATTAGGTGTTATTAATATGGAAGTCGTTGTGCATGTCCTTAAATTTATGCATACAAAATTGAGATAACAACGGATTTCTATGCAAGTCAGGCAACACCTTTTACTATAATAACTTCATACATTTGTTAATTCATTTTAAAAACATGGTACACTCGGTTATTATAAATTATTAAAAATGTTGATGACGATAGAAATTTTTCTTCCTTCTCCGATTCGAACCGTTAATACGCGCATCATGATCGTCAATAAAAAGTGTTGTAAGTTACATTGCTGAACGATCATTATCATTATGCTTTTTACATTTCATCTCCCTTCTTTTGATAGACATTTATGTATATCGTGAAACGAGTGTGCTATGAACATTTCGTGTTTTCTTATCTCCCAGTATTGAACTGTTTATTAACAGACAAAACACATGACGTTACTTGACAAAATATAAAAGTACAGTTCAATCGAAGGAGTAAAGATTCCTAAATCCAGCACTTTCACTACCTACCGCGTGTTCCACACGATTTAATTACAATAAATTACTTATATACTACTAGTTGTTCAACATTTTAATTTTTCGAAGGAAGAATAGTATCAAGTGATTCTTATATAACTAAATTTTATTTCGGAAATAAAGATTTCTCTTCATAAAGAAATCGTGATAATCATCTCTTTAATGAAATTACTTTAAATCTTGTAGTATGTAGATATTATAAATGACTATTTATAGTATATTACAGTATGTCTATCACCTTAGATCGCTTTTAAAATTCGGGGTATTATTTTATTCGAATTTTACTAGTTTCCTATAATTCGAACAGTATCTTAAGGTGAAGTAAAAATATAATACAAGTTCGCTATTTCAGTATTCCGTTCATTGTGCAATTATCAAAAAATACCGTTCACAAAATTCGGAGTCATTCTTTACACGAGATCAGAACTTACAAAAACTATATATAGTTCGATGAAAACTTTACAAAATGATTAAAAAAATGCAGCAATTTCATTTATAGCATTATTTCATAGTAGCATAGCAAGTTCTTTATGAAGTTTATTTCTTCTCTTGGCATGTGCAACTGTAGTTCTCATTTATCAATAGTCGCGACGATAAATATGTGTAAGAAAAAATGCACATCGCTGTCGTAAGAGAAATTTATATAATCGAATCACTGGTCATCACATGAATTTAAATAATTTAAATCTTCCTTCTTCATGTGGAAAGATATAAACGATGATAATCGTTAGCTCCGAAAGCACAATTACATTTTGGACACTTTCTCTGTCTAGTCTCATACCGTGTACGCAAGCAGTCCCAACAGAATACGTGAAAACATTTCGTTAAAACCGCGTCTTTACGTTTAACTTTACACGAAGGACAAGTAAGAGTTTCTTTGTATTCCCGAAGTTCCTCGGCCATTACTTCATCTAAAGTTTCTGCGAGTTCTATCTTCTTCATTCTCTCAACCTTACGCCTCAACTGAGCTATTTCTTCCTACAATGTAACAACAAACTAACAATGAGCAAGCTGCTTCTCCAGTTTCTATAGAAGGAGAGTACATTAATCAACAAAGTAACATTACCTGTAATCTTTTTGTTTTATACGCCTCAGCTTCCAAAGAACTAGTTTTTTCAGCTACAACTTGTTGCGCTTCCTTCATCTGAGAATGGTATTTTTCTATTCAAGAAATAGCATTAAATGTACATAAAAATATTTTTCTCGAAGTAATTGCAATATACATGTATATTTAAACAAATATCTTACCGAGGTGAAGCTTTAAATCTGCTGCAGATTGAGCGCTTTCTATAGCTTTTCGTTTATGCATTTCCATCGCCTGCTGTCTTAAAGCTAGTTCTTTCTCGACAGTCGCGAGCGAATTCTGTAGAAGACGTTCCTTTTCCTCCAGTTTACGGACAACGACGTTGGCAGCTTCGACTTGCGTCGTCAGTGTAGTAACTTGTTCTTTTAAAACGTCTTTCTCCTCCCTAGCTAGTTTATGCAACTGATTGCTTTTGATACGTTCCGTCATCAGTTTAAAATTCGCGTCATCCTTCTCGCGCAACTGTTGGATCAATCTTGAATTCTGTTCTTGCATGTCTTCGAAAGCTTGCCCGGTCACTTCCATCTCGTTCAGAAGAGCTTCCTCTTCCTGAAACCACATACAATTCTGTTTAGCATTACCGATAGCTCACAGAGTAAACGGGATTTGTGTTTTGCGGGATCCGTCAAATATATAAATTTACCTGTTTCTGATTCGCGACCTGACGTTGAAGCGTGTAAGCCTGTTCCTCCAATTTCTTGATTTTTATTTGCGCATCTTCGTCCGCCAACTTTTTACGCTCCTCTCGTTTACTTTCCTAGAAAACAGTAACTTACAATTAAAATTTCAAAAGAAGAAGTCGAAACGAAATGTACGAGCTTATTTGCAAATAAGTACTTGAATCTTTTTTATCTGTTGACGCAATTCATCCAACTCTGCTCTCGTTTTCCTTTCAGCTGCCATTAACTGTACTTTATCACGTTGCTCCTTCCCAACACCTTTATACATATCTAACAATAGTTTCATTTCTTTCATTTCGTTCACAGCCTTTCTACAATTGAAACGATTACCTTTTAATAAGTGTAACTCACGATATTGGTTTTAAATTATGTATACAACGTACTTGAGTTGTGCTTTCAGATCTCTGACAAGCTCCGATTCCGCTACTTTCGTATCTTTGGTACGATGAGCTGGATCACGATATTCAGTTTTAACAGCTTCCTTTTTTATGTCCTTCTCACGTTTTATGTCTTTCTCTTTCTTTAACGTTGGAGACATTAGAGTTAAAGAATCCGGAGTACCTTTATTTCCTTCACCTTCGCCAACTTCAATAGTTTCCACTTCTTCCTCGCCTGATTCTCTCTTTATCGAAACTCCGCTCTCCTCCTTGATCTGTAGCGATATAAAAATACAAATAATCGTTTTACCTGTAAATGAGAAATACTGTAAAGAACGTTACTCTACCTGCGTAGATCCTGGAAGAGAATTCGATGCGTCTTCCTCTTTACCGCTACCGTCTGAATTGTTGCCTTCTTTATTTTCCTGAGACGTTTGTTGGCCCAACTTCGTCGTCAATTCCTCAATTTCCTTCTTTAGCTATAATAAAATATGGACATAGTAACACGAAATATCTCTCTGTCGTTAATTAATTGTTAAAGGAATTAACACGAAGAACATACACACCCTTGGTATCTCCGAAGAGGCTTCTTTGTATTTTCGTTTGTAACGATGAACCTCGCCTTTAAGTTGTTGATTGTGATTCTGTAAAGATGTGATTAAGTGTCTCATTTCTCGGTTGATCGGTCCTGTTTGCTCGTTCGCTGCTAAATTTTGTTCAAACTCGATTCTCAACATTTCGTACTCCTTCCGCAACTGGGCTAAAACATCCTCCAACTGTATACACTCTCCACGCAGCTTCTTTTGCGCCATCAACTCTTCGCTCTGCAAAGACATAAAAACGTTAAGTACAATTTTCACATCAGATGACAAAATACAATAAAATAGATTTGCCTCCATCATCTCGATATGTCGTAAATGAGCATTCTTGCTGGACTGCAACTGCTGACGGGCATCGTCTAACTGAGTTTTCAATTGCATCGATTCGTTATACAATACAGAAAATTGAGATTGCAGGCATTTGTACTCCGTCGTCTCGACGATTACAGATTCCGGGAGTTGTCGAATCTGTAAATATAAAATGTTGTTCAAAAGAAAATTGGAAATAACATTAATTCTTTAAATACAACATCGATCGATCTTCCACTCGTTGCTTTTCTTTATACGCGTACTTCGTTCGAATATAAAAAAGTGAAACACAAGAAACGAGCGTGAACAATTATGCAATGAACATTTATTGTAGACATTAATTTACAATCTACATCGGACATCATAGAACTGTGTACAAAAACCAAACTCACATCCATTTTCAATTTCTCTACTTCTTTCAGTGCGTCGCGATGTTGCTGATGAAGCTTGTCCAGTTCTTGTAATCTGTTGTTAGCCACTTCCCTCGTTTCTTCTAATTCTCGTTGCAAGTCCTCGACCTGCATGTAATATGAAATAAATATAAATCTATTTAACGGTGAATCACGTCGAACAAAATTTCATACCTTCGTCTGCGACACGCTTGATGCGACCAAAGTGGTTGGCTTATTGCTTCCTTTTTCGTCTGCACCATGTATTTGTTGAAACGCTTTCAACTTCTCGATCGCTTCTCCAAGATGATGTTCTAGTTTATCATTACGTGCTCGGACTTTATTCAATTCGTACTGGAGATCATCCACTTGATTACGAAGCTCGGCAGCGAGCGTGTCTTTTCCCGTTATGGTGTCTTGTAATTCAGACATCTATGCACAAACATTTGTATATAATTAAAAATGCATAATTACACTAAATACATATAATTACGTTTAACATACTTTTAATGAAATGGTATGATACTTTTCATGCAGTTGTATATTTATTGCTTGAAGATTCCTATTCTCCATTTGTATTTCAGCGTTTGCCCGGCGCACAACTTCATCGATATTGGGCGCTTCTTCTGGAACAATTATGGTGTAAGTCTTTCTTCTATGTTCACAAAGTATTAGAATAAATACCTCCGTCAAATTCTCCTTTCAGGGCAAGAGTAATTTTTTCATTCCTCTGAGAAAGACGGTCAAATGCTTGTACGACTTTAGAAACTGCACGTTTAGACACTTGAACACGATTAGCTAATTTATCATCTAACTCCTCTTTATCCCATGACGAAAGTTGCATAAGAAACGATGTTGTAGCTTCACTTTCATCTGTGAAAATAAAAACCATGTAATAAATTACGCATAAAGAGATTAAATGATGTGTTTGTGTATTTTACTTTTATTCTCCGATTCATCAGCTGTTTCTGCATCAAATCTTTGAAGCAATACACGTATATCTTCATTTAATTGATTCCAATAGCGATTGACTACGTTTAATACTGCATCATCTTGCATTTGCCTTTTTTCTAGCTGTTCAATTCGTTGCCTCAATTCAGTTTCCACTCTATGGCGTTGTTCTAATCTCTGAAACACGTGTATATACATTTGTGATAAACATTTACAAAATAAGATCACCTACGATCATAAATAAATTACTGTATAAAAATAAACATTTTATTGGTAATATTTTTTTCCAAATTTACACATTTGGAGATAATTGCGTGAAACCACATTCCTCCACATACCTGGGCAAGCTTTTTATTTTGAAACTGCAAAACTTTCATGTCCATTTCTTCCAGAGTTGAAATAGGACCGATTAAAATGGGCTCGAATTGAACTTTTTTAATAGGTGGCTGGGAACCCGAGTCCCCGCTGTCCGCAGGTCGCTTCGACATTCTGCCTTGAACGTTTTTCCTTTCCTGAAACGCATGAAAACCCCTTCGAAGTTAGAAAACAAATATCGTTTAACGTAAAAAATTTTCTTATTGATCACAATGAAACCGTACCCTGTAACGATTTACTAATACCTCCAGCGAGCCTCTCCGCAATATCTTACAGTTCCGGTACCACTGTCATTTTTTACCGCGCCGAAACCTGTCGAGAGGAACGCAGTTTCGACAGATCCCTTACATTTTATTGAAAACGTTCAACGAAAAGTGACGAGAAGTACGTGCTCGTAACGGAAGCCGCCATTGTATCACGGCGTTGCATACGCGGCAAATCAAAAAATAAGGCGAAAACACCGAGGAGAGATTACTAAAGAGTGGCAGCCTTATAGGATTTTGTTACCCGCGAAAAAGTCGGTAATTTTTTACGCCCTCTAGAATATATTGCTATCAATGTAAGAAATAGAAAGCACGACACTCGTCGATGCTGAACCGACCGTAAAATCTTACGTATTACCGACGAGAGATTTTTGAGATATTCGAAATGGGAAATAAAGTAGAATAAAGATAGTAAACAAATTCCATTTACTTGTAAAAAATAATTAGCGGATATTATCATATAAAGTTCATCTTTAAATTATAATATATGCACATACATTGTACTAATATCCTCAACAATAGTACGTATAATTCGATCACCAGTCACTAACGAACGATAGGAGTAAATGAAAAAGATACATTTTAAATGAGCGTGAAGATTTCTGAGGTCGTATGTATCTCGGTCACTTCTGTATCTTTCTATGTTGCTGCTTACAATCTTCACCATTTTCGCAGTTGCAATTTTGGTCTTGAGTAATGCCTTATCCCGGTCGTAAATATTTTCTTCGGCGATAAATCATTTTTATCCTGTTTGTATAGAATAATATTAGCACCCTTAATGACGCGTAGGACACATGAGAAATAATGTTTTGAGCGATACCTCATTTGTTCCTTTTATTTTTTCAATCCGGGCATCAAACTGACTGAATGTATTTTTATTCGATATTCTTGCTTTTTGTTCACTTTGTAACTGAAAAAATCATACTGAAGAATAGATTCTTATAGCATGCATAATAGAAGAAATACTTATGATACATACATATGTCCTTTCAACTTGAAAAATGAAATCGTACTCATCGTCTCTCATTATCTGCTGCGAACTCACTTCTTTGCTTACATCAGGAAATAAATTTTTTGAAGCGTCTTCGTCTATTTCCATTTGATTTCCCGTCTCTTTAATTGTCTCCGTCGTAACTGGTTTAGCTTTTTCCGTTACGGCTCCTTTTGTTTTGGCAGAACTATCTTTTATCAGTTTATTTTTATCTTTTTCTTTTATATTGTTTAGTAAATTATCAAATTCAATTTCTGATACACTCCGTACTTTTACTACTTTGGCGTCCTTTCTCGTCTTAGCTACATTTTCATTTTCTTCCTTTTCATTTACGTTCTTCGATAGTTTATCGAGTCCTTTCTCCTGTCTACTTTGGTCTGTTTTCTTTCCTTCTTGACACTTTTCGACACTCTTAAAACCTTCGTCCTTTTGCCTATCGTCATATTTGCGATCAACTGTTGTTTTTTCTGTATCTTCCCGCTGCTTCTCAAGTACTTCTTTTTTTTTTTTAAATAGAATTTCATCACGTTCTTTTAAATATTTTCCAAGATCTTCGATGCCTTGCATTGCTTGTTCAATTCGCGCATCTTCTACTTTGTGTCTTTCCTTTCTTTCCTGTAAATATTTCTGCAACTTTTCAAAAGATTCTTTTTCTTGGGTAATTCCATTTTGTTCGTTCACCGTCGTCAATTTAGTGTCGAGATCTTTCTTTAATTTTTCCATTTCAGTCTTACGTTCATCCGGTGATTCTATCCGAGTAGAAATTTGCGTTTTGATTTTCCTCATCTCCGTTAATTGAACATCGTAATTTCCTATTAGCTTTTCTATTTTCATCTTATGTTTCTCTTCTCGTGACTTATGATAATTTTCGATCTATAGAAGGAACAAATTCAAGCAAACCAATCGTTGGAGCGTTTTTAAAAAATTTACCTGCGCGATCAAACTTTTCTCCAAGCTTATTCGTTCCATCTCCAGTTTTAGAACTCTAATTTTTCTGTTCAATTCAAACACTTTCTTCTCATCGTATTGCTGCACATCATTGAGAAATTTCTCGAGATTTAAGTTATCAGTTTGCGCCGCCTTTAATTTGTTCTCCAAATTTGCACAATTATTGTGCATATGATTATACCTGTTCTCCATCAGATGCAAGTCTTTAACTAAAGTCGATTCTATTTCTTCTCTTATGCGTACATTTTTTGTTAATTCCTCTATCTACATAGAAGCAGGAAAGAAACGTAATCGTACTGAAAAGAGTTGAATGAGAAAGAAAATTCTACACGTAGTCATACTTCTTTTTCTTTAGACTGTAGGTCTGTGAGTAGTCTTCCTTCCATTTTTAACAGTGCCCAATTTCTTTTACTCAACTCGGTGTTCTGGCATTCCAGAGACTGGATCTTATTTCTATCAAACAAGTAAAAATTAATTTATCAGATACTTTTTATTTATCCGTTGAAAATTCTTACTCGTACGCGTCAATCTTGTTTTTCAACTTCATAATTTCGTTGTCTGCCTCAGTGAACGCATTAGCTAACTCGGCGAAACAGTCGCTGTTATATTTTTTCGGAACCTTTTGAGGACTCGCTTTACAAGGGGAATACCCCTTCCGCTTCTGACGTTCGAATTGCGATGGCCTTTCTCTTTTAGAACATTCTACATAGAAACATTTTATGTCGGGCGATTTAATTAACGAACAATTCTGATTTCAATGTACTTTACGGTCGTACCTTCGCTTTGCGGAGTCTTTAGACACTTATGCGGATTAAAGTGCGGAGTGTTAGAAGTTATCAGTTGCGTTGGCGGGATTACATCTTCTTCGCCGGATTCTATATCAAACGTTCACCAAATTGGCGTTCATTCCTTGCACAAATCAAGATACAATCTTTTAATAACACCTTACCAACAACGTCTCGAGGCATAATGCTTCGTGTTTTCATTGGAGATACAATGCGGTACTTGACCACATCCGCCCTCGATTCTGTTCGCTCCATTTATTCTTATTATTCGACACTGTATTATTAAACAGGATAAAATAATTGAACGAAACTTATTGTTAATCACCCTTCGGTAACAGATACGTGATCTCAACATGGACGAATTTCGAACTGTACTACGTAAGTCATTACAAGTTTCAATACGAATTAACTTCCTCGGTGGCATCGATTACCACCGAAAAGAGCGATTACCGCGATTCAATAAGGCAGAGTGTCAATGGTACCCACTAAATTATGCGGAGTTTGTAATATCCAATAGATGGCACTTATTCTCGAACGCTCGGTAAAGAGCTTCTGTTCTATTCAGCCGTTCAGTCGGCGACGATGTGTCCGCGAGTACAGTTTCTTGTTAAAGGTTGGCTTATCGCGTTTTACAGAGTGTAATGTAGAGGCGCGGGAGAGAGGTAAAAAGCGTCGGTGCGCTTTCGATTCGTTAGTAGACAGCAGAGCCCGTCGGACGCGTCAGACGTGATGCGTGACGGGCAGATGAGCGCGCGACGAGGTACGTTTCAGCGGCTTCAGTTTGCCACTGGATATCAAAGACAGTAAGCGCGCGTGCGGGCGGCAAACCGTGTTGCTTTCTTTTTTTCGTGTTTTTTCGACATGGCTGAGTATGTACCGTTATCCGCGATCGTTTCTCGATGCCCACCCTGAAGGCGGACAGCGGACCGAGCGATTTTCCGTGACCACGGGAATCGGGAATCGATCAAGAAATCGGGGACCGATATATGGACGTTTCCTTACGCGGATAACGCGAGCGAAGAAGCGGTCCTGTTTGCAAGGTTAGGTGAGTTCTATCGCGATCCCCGGCACCGCTTTTACTCGCGTGGTATGCCGTCTTTCACGCGTTCCACCCGCTGCATCGATTTTCGACACCGGCCAGATTCTTCCCCTGTCAGATCTCACTTCGCGTTTTCACGATTTCTCCTATCTGTCGTATCGCTCGAACAGGAGACAGCCTGATTCGTATGTAGGATACGCGTACAGACGAAAGGCGTAACTTATTTATGTGTACACACATGAAAGCTATATAGTAGTATCACCTGTACTTTGTACTATCGCTAGAAAGGTGAATGGAAATGATCTCATCTCCTCATATATTATATAAGAAATTCGTTAAGAAGCGTAATGGTTCAGTTGGATGCGATCGCATCGGAGCGAAAGAACGATTGATCGGCTCGCGTTGCAGCCGGTTAACTGCTGACAGCGTAATAAATCTGCGTACCTTTAAAAGTTTAAAAGGCTGACACAAATCGATGTTTAAATGCGACGTGATTGCTATTCATCTGTCTGAGATCTTGTAGGAGACGTAGACCGTGTTTGCATGCGTACATGCACGCGAAATTGACGGTACTGCTTACGTTCAGCATCTTTTTCCATCGCAGTAAGGACGTTAATTGTTCTTGACCATAAATTGCGAAAACAACTTTTATTTGAAGCATTTTTCGAAATTTTGAAAAAAAAAAATTTTTCGTCAGCGTCAATACTTAATTGGATATTTCTTTCTATACTTTTTAGCACGTAGCTATTTATTATTAGCATTATTCTTCCGACGTCTGATTTCTTTTTAATTATAGGAAATGCGTTTTTCTAAGGTACATCAACTTTTGGGATTGACTGTATAGCCAATACATCCTTAAATATTTACGAGATTCGTAATTGCGATAGATCGGTCGAATTTCATTTGGCCCGGCTTGATATTACGACACGTGCGATGAAATTAGAATTCTATGCGCTCAACTGCAGTCTTGATACCATATCCTTGATTTTGTTTATCTCGGCTCTAAATCGAGGAAGAACTACTAAATCGATTCTTACAAAAGTAGAAAAAATTAACAAAATTTATATTCTCTATCTTGTTGGTATAATTTACATCGGTGGATATAAATAAAAAGCATAAAGTTTGTTTGGATCGTTTATCTGGTGAAGTTGAACACCTTTCCTCGAACTTATCATTATTATCTAATTAATAAGGTTGTGAGTCGACACGGGGAAATTATGGTTAATTCAATTTGAACGTGACAGAAATCTGGGTTAGTTCCAGATTAGAATTAGATTAAAATTAAGTTAGTTCGGGTACTCAACCGCCGGGAACTGTCACCACCTCCGTATCTTGCGAGGATGTAACTTCGTCAAGTAATTTATTAACAAATTGATAACTATGAGAGAATCAATATTATCGTTTAATGAAATTTCTCTCAACTCTCAACAATAATGATTGGAAGAGACGTTCGAAGTATGAAATATATACATATATCTAAGCACCCTAGTAATACAGAGTTGCTGTTATAGCATTTGTGGGTTGTTGACCTAGAAATATTGCTTTTTGGCACGATGGTGTCCCCGGGGTCTCGACTTGGATAGCTTCAAGTTCTAAAAGCAGAGATTTTGCGCTAAGCTTGCTTCATTGTTATTATTATTATTTGCGAACTAAAATCCTACACAAAATGAAGCAAAAAGATCTTGAAAGATCTTTTTTAATACGATAATTTTTGTATGTTTATAACGTATAAATCAGAGGATTAAAATAGTACAATACACGTGCGAATGAGATTACGTTTTGACGCTCTCGTTTGTATCAATTATTATAAAATCGATGTGTAGTAACTAAAGAAGTTAAGATTTTCATTCATTGTTGTCAATACAACTTTTTTACTTACACCAGTTTTATAATAATGCCACAATTACCTTTCTGTGATTCTTTGAATAGGTTGCCCTGGAATAACTGGTTCTCAGGTTTATTTTCCGTTGCATAGTATATGGGAGGCTTCGAATCGGTAGAACGAAGTTGAAACGAAGTCCTTTCACATTGTTCGAGATATACATACGCATGCAGGAGAGCTCGGGAAACTAGGCCAGACTGCAGTTCCTTTCTTGGTGAATGCGGAGGAAATTCGCGAAGGAAAATAGTGTACCTTCTTGCGATTGTATCTTTTGCCGAAAGATGCGTTCTCCTCTAGGTATCTCGCAGACACGTAAGGAAAATTGGATTCACTGTTCGATAGAGTCCTCTAGGAATCTTTTTCAACATGGTCAAATTATTATCTGCGTCAGAATGTCTCATAGAAATGTTATAAATTTATTGTGATGTATTCTTCTTTCATACTCTCCTCACTTTGATACAATTTTTTATACTTTAATCATCTTAATCTTAGTACTATAATAAACCGAAAGAAGCATGTTCCTAAGACATCGTCGTCTATTTTACGAGACAAGTTCCTGTAACTATTATCATCTACCTACACTTTTAGAACACACATTTCCTTGCACAGCTGCACAGGGAAACTGTAGCTGCAGCACGATGATTTACATAATTGATAACGTCGTTCAAGGTTTCGGGGGCAATGTTATAAGCGCGGTATCGAAAGAATATGTATAGGCACAGTAACTACAGTGATCATCACTATATTTCCCTCAATGTATAAATTTTGCATTCGACTACATCAAATCTTTCCTGTCTAATGTTAAACATATCATAGTGGAAATGAAACGAAATACGTTTGATTGAAAAGTATCATTTTGGGAAATACGCGTTTGCATCAATTTTTTTCTAGTCTTTGCAATTTAGCCTCTGATATTAATGGGATATTAAGGGGCCTCATCAGTGTGACCTGTGTTTATATGGGGCCAAAATACAATGAGTTAGCTACACATAAGAAGAAAGACACAGCACCCAATTTTTATTGATCTCGTAAAATATATAGAAAAAACATTCTTCGGAAGAGTCTCTCTCTCTCTCCCACATATAGAAAAAGAAACTCTCCCGTTCATTTTCTTTCTCTCAATCGTCTGGTCTGTAGATTCTCATTTGGGCGCATGATCTGTTCTCATGCCACCTGTACCGATTTCGTCGTTATCGGACACATCCGTGAATGACAAAATCTTCAATGTAGAACTTATTTATAAATAACAATTAAAAATAAAAATTGCACAAATTAATTCTACAGCTTGTCAGTCGTGGATATATTCATTTCTTTATGCTATGAATTTAATCTACTACTCGAATTTATGCTATGAATTTAATCTACTACTCGAATTTCATTCGATTACGCAATGGGTAAAGTTTATCATTATCCCGAAACGTTTATAGCCGCGATAGGTCGTTTTCAACAGAGCTTTTATGAAAATTCATATCTGATTTATTATTCAGTAATTAGTCCAGTAACATATTTCGTTTCCTCGTATCTGAATAATTGCACGTATTACTATCAGTACATATTATGAATTTGTTGCAGCAGTCGTATCGATTGATTTATGTCTCACAATCAGTGATCAATTATCAAGAAAAATTCGAAGTAGGCATATTTGTTAGTGAAACGTTTCTCCACTCTGACTTAATGGTATTGCTTGAGAGCAGATGATTGATAATACTTCCGGTCTGGTTTTAATTAATACGTTGTTATTCGGTATTCAAATGTGGAACTGCTAATGTACTTACGTATTTCTATTCCGTATACTCCTATCCTATCTATACTCCTCTTTAGCGGTTTTCTTCGTTTCGAGAGCACTCGTGACGAAGAAACGGCTCGACGCGATCTTGACTCGTGCCGTGTGCCATTGTCTTTTCCATTAGAACTTTAGCGTAATTTGTTCGAGCAACTTGCCTGTCTCAACGAAATGGAACGATCTTATCGGAATCGCGAGCAGAACATACGTTTCTACTATAGTCGATTCGCTTCGTGTCCTGTAGATTTTGTCCTCGAATCATAAAATCCGACACGTACATAAATAGAGATTTCGACGTAAATGTCGATGCGCGACTTCGATTTTGATGAGAATCGCGATCAACGTTTCATTGTTTCATCACACATCTAGATAATAATTGAATGACGAACGCTTTCATGAAACGAGTTTGACGTATTCTGAAATGAGCGCAGACAAGTGCAAAGTGCAAGTCGCACCCGCGGCTAGTAGTCGTCTTAACCGAAAATATCCTATTAACCCTCGGGTAGGTAGAAGCGAAGAGGGATGGGGGTAAACGGGACGGAAGTCTTTGAAAAGCTCGCCGGTCTTCTCGTATTCTCTTGTAAAGCTCTAAATCCGATGACGCTGTAAAACATGTGATTATCCTGTCGGCGAGACCAGTCGCCGCACATAATAGTGATATACATAATAAGTCCGACGATGGCATCGTTAAAGGCAAGGCCAATTAATAAAAAATATTAGGTTCCTGTTTAGACTGCGTGAGTTAAGGTTGTATGAGCCGTAAGATCTCTGCCAAAAGTTTAAGACATGTAATAGAAAGCTGTGTCCAATATTTGAAGCAATGAACTTTTAGAAAAAATTATAATTACAGAGGAGTAAGTATAAAATTGTTCGACCTATCTTTCCTCGGTCATAAGGAATTTTTAACGCATAATTTCTAATATTCTAATACACAGTTTTGACATTTTTTTTTATTGGACTGTACGTGACTTGCAACTTTCTGCACTTTCTACATGTCCTATAATTCTTACTTTTGCATACTTT